TGTATGTATGCCTTAAATTCTATTAGTTCAACAGTTAATTCGCACCATGTGAGAGAGCCTGAGAGGGGAAGTATGTGAAGCCCATTAGCAATTGCTTATATCTCAGTGTAAATTTGTTCATTAGAAGCATACTTGACTGGTAATGGGTAAAGACACAGGGTACGGCAATGGGGGTGACCAGGTAAGCAGGAGGAGTGTTGATGGAAAAGGAGAAAGGTTCCAGATTTGCGTGGAGGTGGAGCTGGCCCCAGGCCCTCTCAAAAGGTGTCCTGGTCCAGTGTGGAGGAGCTCAGCTCCCTGTACACTGTCACCCGCTTCCCTTCAGCTGGCTACAACCACCTTGCGTACAACTCAGAAGGTGTTTCCAGCTAACGCTGCTGCTTGTTTACTTTTAGGTATCTTGCAATATATTCAGAACTCTCCCTCCTAGCGACAGCAATGAATTTGATCCAGAAGAAGATGAACCTACCCTTGAGGCATCGTGGCCACACTTACAGGTACTTTGAACTACCATTCATTTATAATAAAAGAAAAAGTCCCTTAGCTCCTTAGATGATTCGTGTGGGCATTCTATTAAGGCCTGTTTATTCGCTAAGAAACCATATGAAAGTATATCAGTGGAAAACTGGAGATTTCATTTCATGGTTCTTACCCTTGATCACGAGGGTGCCACATTCTTGAAAGTGTAAGCTTGCGTGTCATCCGTTGTGTGGCTCCTCCCCTGTGGCAGAGCAGCCCGCGGAGCTCACTTCTGTGCGCTGGCCCACTGGAGCCTCAAACCAGAAGCGAGCATGTCCAACTGTTGTGAGTGGGCTGTGATTAGGTCACAGAGTACACATCTCTTTGTTAGCAGAAGCAACCCTGGAGCCTCTTGAGATGCACTGCATGTGTTACCTTTAACCTGGGAGGTGAAAGCAAATGGCAACAGTCATTTCTTTCTCAAGGAAAAGCAGCACTTTGGGAGAAACCTGTGTGAAGGTTAATTTTATCGTCCTGCACCAAGAAGGCATGTTGTCCAGTGCAGCCTGTTATGGGTCACGAAGGATGCGGGGCATCGCTCAGCTCCTTTCTCAGCACGAAGCTTATCTCCATGGTGTAACGATCAGGAATTATTGCATCTAGAGTTTCTGTTCACAGACACACACAGGTTTATTCCAAGTAAAATATGTCTGAACACTTCATTGTGATCAATGGGTGGTTGCATAGACATTCAGCCACATGCTTAATTTTGTTAGAGTTCTTCAAAAACCAAAAGCTCAATGAAAACTGGCTGCTGGGAGTTTTTGCCGTTTCGTTTCAGGTTCGGAGGTTGTTTTTTTTTTGGCTTTCCAAGGGGGCATTTTTGAAGGTTTTTTGAAGCACAGGACAATCATGGGGGGTTATTAGAAAGAAGATTTGAGAAAACTGACAAGTGTATTAGTAAGAGAAAGGCCAGGAAAGTTGCGTTGAGGAATTTGTTTCCTTTCCAAGCGTGCGCCTCCTCCTCCTTAGGTTGATAGCAAGGGCTGTCCTATAAGAATTCCGCTGGGAAGCCTGATGCTATCCACCAGATACCCCTGATTGTGTCCCGCCAACCATTTTTGTTCTCTGGATTCAAAAGTGCATTTAAGGGAACCTTGGGTTCGGTTCCTTGGAGGATAGACTCCACGGGCAGTTTTGACGCGGTGTGAAGCGAAGAGCGCAGGACTCTTCAGGGCAGGGTTGATGAGACAAACGCTGCCAGCCAAAGGGCTAGAGACCTACGTGGAGGGATAGGCTGAGAGCAGTAGCTTCACACTTTGGAATTTTTGCTTAATAAAGGTTTCCGTGATTTTGCAACAATACTTTTTGACTTACCCTCTTATTTATGTATGGAGACTTCTCCTTTTCCAACTTCTTTTTTATTTTTTGGCTGTCTTCTCTCAAGAGCAGAATTTCCCCCAAACAAGGAAATCTGAATGTAATGAACCCCAAAGACACCTTTCCATTGAGTCAGAATGTTCTCAGAGGCATTATGACCAACGACCTTACACATCTTCCCCCTGAGGCAGAAGCCCCAGGATCTTTATAGAAGTGTGCTTGCAGTGACCAGTTGACTGAATAGAACGAAACTGCTCTGAGGAAAATAAGGCCTAGAGATATTCCAAAGGTGTGTTTTTTCCCCCCTGCCCACTTCAGAATTTCTGTCATCAGTTTACAACTTTGCGGGTCCCATCTTGGCAGCACAAGGTTGCTGCAGATATGTAAGTGGTTATTTCCCGTAGTTCTGGGGAGAGCTTTAGGGGAGGGCTTTGCTTTCTCAACTTAGCCAGACATGTTATCCTTGTGTATATGTGTCCTTTGCTGCCTGTACTAAGACTGGGTAAGAAATTAAAGAATTTAAAACACTGATTTACTCTCTCAGGTTTTTTTTTAAAGGTGCTAGACATATCACTTGCAATCCAAGAAATTTGTACAATGATTTGATATTTTGGGCACAAGTCATGTGTGTGTGTGTCTTCCCTTACTGTCTTGGATGACATGGGCTTCTTGTGATGTCTTACTCTTACCACATGGTACCAGTTCAGAGAGCTGTAGGTTAGTCTGGGAGAAACTTCAAAAAAAAGATACTATCTGCTCAGCAAAGTCCTATATAGTATTAGTATTATTATAAAACAGTATTATTCATAAAACAGGAGGAGAAAGGTCTTGAAAGTTTTAACTGGTCTCTTTTTCTACCTGGTTTGGAATATTCCAGATAACGATCACCAAAGCATATAAAGTTCCCCTGAAGTAAAATAAAATTTAAGTAATTTTTTAAGTTAGTCTTTCCTGTATTTAATGACTCTATAAATACAGGACAAAACTAATTTCTGCATCTATCAAACTGAATCCCGCCACCAAAAAATACTTTCGATTTATATTGTCACCACTGCAGTAACATTAATCATTATTTCTTCTGAAACTTTAAAACCAACGCAAATGTGGGTAGTGAGCTTATAATGTATACAATTTGGTTATGAAATCACAAACTGTTTTCTAAAGGAGGCTGGTTAACAGTTGAGTTTGTTTCCAGCCCATAATCCGTCTAACCCCTTCTTCAATTTATGGGGAGGAGCATAGAGTCAGTTTATTAATGCTGATCAGCGAATGGGACCCCCGCTCTCAAAAACAGACAGTACGCTCAAGGTCAGGTCAGTAGATGTTCTGGTACCTTCACTATTGCTGCTTTATGGAAGTTTTTATCTAGGTTTTTGACTTTCTCAAAGGTTCTTTTGTGCATTCTCATTTCACAAAGTAGTCACCTTTGCATTTCATTCATATTTTTCTTCTGACTACAGCATTCTTTCAAAACTTAAGTATTCTTTTTTTTTTGTTCATGATGAATCAATTCACTAAATTCAAATTTTATTTTATTTATTTTTTGAAAGCTTTTTCTTATCTTCATCATTTATAGTTTGCTTCTTCTTCTAGACTGTATTTCCCAAAGCAAAGTGTTTATTACCAAATTTTTGAGAGTATGGAGAAAACAAAGTTATTGTGAGATGTAGTTAGTTGTTAGGTTCTGGGCTAGACTCATTGCCAACCTGATTGTTCCTGTACATCTCTTCTCTGATTTCAATTTGTGGCCTACCCAAAATCACATACTATGACAAGTCATGGCATTTGCTAAAACAGGAACTTTGGGAGCAATTTGAAATGAAAAGGGCATATTAAATCAACAGCTTTGTAATTCAATTACATCAAAGGGTCTATATGTGATCTTCAATCTGTCTTCTTGCTAATTGTAAGTTGGTGTTAAGTTGGTTTTGATGCATAGCAATTCCTTGCACAACCGAATGAAAACTGCCATCTTGTGCCATCCTCAAAATTACTGCCGTGCTGGAACCTTTGTTGCCGTCATTGTGGCAGTTCCATCTCCTTGAGGGTCTTCTTTTTTGATAACCTCATACTTTACTGAACATGATGTCCTTTTCCATGGACTGGTTTCTTTTGATTGCATGTCCCCATGCCCTTCACCCTTGCTTCTCAGGAGCCTTCTGGCTGTACTTCTTCAGGACCTCCATGGTCCTTTCAATAGTCTTCAACACCGTCATTAAGAAGCCAAACTCCCTGCCAATCAAGGCAAGTTGACTTAACAGCAGCCCTGCAGGACAGAGTAGAGCTGTCCCTTTGGTTTTCTGAGACTGTAAATCTTTCCAGGAGCTGAGAAGACTCATCTTTCTCCTCCGGAATGACTGCTGAGCTAGTGGCTTCGAGCCCTGTGTGGAACCCACTACAGCACTAGGACTTGCTTCCAATATTCAAAGGCATCAGTAATTCTTCTATCGTCCTTATTTGTTGTACCTTCAACTTAAGTGGGTTGAAAATTACATGGCTTGGTTCAGGAGCACATCAGTTCTCCTAGTGACATGTTTGCTTTTGAACACTTGAAAGAAATCTTTTGTAGCAGATTTGCCCAGTGCAGTACATCATTAGAATTCTTGACTGTTGCTTCCATGGGTGTTGAGTGTAGATCCAAATAAAATGAAAAAATGTTGACAACTTTAATTGTTTATTCATGTATCATGATGCATTTATGTATTGATCAAGTTAGGATTCTTATTTTGGGACGTTGAGGATTTTTGTTTTACTTGTGTTGAAGTATAATCCATATTGAAGGCCGTATTCTTTAACCTTCACTCACAAGGACTTCAAGCCCTTTTCACTGTAAGCAAACAAGGTTGTGTCATCTGCATGTGACAGGCTGTTCTTCCGATACTCCAGCTTCTTGGGATTATTTGCCCAACCTACAGATTGAATAAGTATGGCTACAACTTTGTTATATCCAGAGGACACAACTCTGACGAGCACTTTTCCTGATTTTAAACCATGCAATATTGTGTTTGAACAATTGCATCTTGGTACTCGTACAGGTTCTACATGAACACGGTATTCTGGAATTCCCATTTTTATAATATTATCCATAATGTATTATAATCCACACAGTCAGATACCTTTGTTTAGTTAATAAAAACACACGTAAACATTTCTCTGCTATTTGCTATTTTCATCCAAGATCATCTGGCATCAGCAATGCCTATCGTTCCATGTCCCTTTCTGAATCCGGGTTGAATTTCTGGCAATACCTTGCCTACATACTACAGCAACCATTTTGAATTTCCTTTGGCAAAATTTTACTTGCATGTGATATTAATGATACTGCTCAATAATTTTGGCATTCTGATGGGTAACCTTTCTTTGAAATGGAACATAAATGTGACTCTCTTTCAGTCAATTGAGTAGCTGTCTTCCAAATTTCTTAACATAGATGAGTGAGTGTTTCTAACATTTCATCTGTTTGTTGACATACCTCAGTTGTTATTCCCTTTGTTCACGGAGGTTTTTGACCCCTAATACCTTCAGTACCATCAGTTCTTTATCATATACTTCTTCCTGAAGTGATTGGATGTCAACCAATTGTGTGTGTGTGTGCTTCTTGTGCAATTTTTAATATTTTCCCCATAGAATCCCTCTTTGTTATAACTTGAGGCATTATTAATATTTTAAGTTCTTTCAGTGTGAGAAATGTAGAGTGTGTTCTTCCATTCTGACTTTTCAACTCCAGATCTTTATGCATATTTCACTGTAATACTTTGCCCTCTTAAGCCACCATTTAAAATCTTCGGCTCTTTTACTGAATCATATCTTCCTTATGTTTTAGCTACTCTATGATCAAGAACAAGTTTCACAATCTTTTCTGACATCCATTTTTGTCTTTTCCCTCTCTTGTCTTTTTATTGACTGTTGGCTTTCTTTGGGCATGATATCCTTGATGCCATCCAATAATTTGTCTCGTCTTTGGTTATTAATGTTCAGTGTGTCAAATCTCTTTCTAGCGATGGTTTCCAGATTCAAGCAGGATATTCTGATGGTTGAACTTTGACTCTCATGAACTTGCTTTAATTTTATTCAGCTTCAGCTTAAACTTGGGTCTGAGCAGTTAACGATCCCTTGCTGGTTTTGACTGGTGATATTGAGCTCTCCATCACCTCTTTCTATATAGTCAATGTGATTCTGGTTTTGTATTCATATTGCAAGGTCCACGGGTACAATGAATAAAATCATTGGTCTTATAAAATTCTGTCATGTGATTTTCAGAGTTGTTTCGATCACCAAGGCATTTTTTTCCTTTTTATTTTTTCCCAACTTTCTCATTCCAATTATCAGTCATGATTAATTTATCTTGATTACAGGTTTGATCAAATTTTAGATTGTAAAATTCTTCATTTTCTTCCTTGGCATTTGGTTTTCCCAGATAAATTTATAACATAGCAATTGTACATTAAATCGCATATGTTGCATTCCTAATGTTGTTTTATACAAAAGCATTTGTCTGGTTGTTTTGAAGTATAAGCTAATATAGCGACTTGTTCCTAAAAGAGTACTTTTACTCCAAAGACCACCTCCAACTCGGGCAGTTGAAAGGTATTTTGTAAAAAATGAACAAGAAAAACAATATTTTTTATTGGTGAATTAGAGATCTTATTTTTTTATTTAGTTATTTTTTCAAGCCATTTTACCAGACATCATACCATTCAATAGTTCAGTCATACCAAGAAGTGTTGTACAATCACTACTACAATCAGTTTCAAAACATTTCTTTCTTCTTGTACTCCTTGATAGCAGCGCCCCCTTAACATCGCCCCCTCCCCTGCAATACCCCCCAGGAACCCTTAATTTCGTTTTTGTCTCTAGTCACCTATCCTGGGGTTCATAGACCAAAAGACACAGAAAAATACACAGCAGAGAGTCACAAAGGCTAGCAGCACAGACTGAATACAACAGAGATAAACCTCAATTTGAGAGAAAAAACCCCAGAAAATATTAAAAACCAAATCAACTCAAAGTGTATCAAAAGGTATATAAAATGACAAGATTTTACCCATTCAAATCAGATTTTTCATTTTAATTGAATTAGAGATTTTAAAACAAAATTTAGAATTAAAATTTTGGATACGTTTTGTCACCTTCAGCTTGATATCTCCCAAAGGATTTGACTTTTTAATAAAATAGAAAATTGGATTTGGTTTTAAAGAATGTGTGTTTTTCTAAGCTGTAATTTTTCTAATTCGATGTGTCACTGTCTAAAAATATGCAGAATGCTGTGAGCCAGAATTACCTAGTTTGCCAGTGAATTATGTTAGGTAACAAGGTACAAATTTAAAAAGCAAAACCAAAAAAGAGAAAAACAGAACCCCAGACCAAACCCATATTGCTGTGGAGTCAATTTTGACCCAACAAGGCAGAATACAACAATAGGTCACGTCAATAGTGACCCTTGTAAGGCAAAAAGAAAAACTGCCCTAGCGCTCCCAAGGCTGTCATGTTTTGGAAGCAGACTGCTGCATCTTTCTCCTGAGTAGTGGCAGCTGGATGCAAACCACCAACCTTTCAGGTAGCAGCGGAGCACTTAACCACTGTGCCACTCAGACTTCTTCCAATATTGTAGCCCCTGTAAGCCGTGATCCCTCAGTGTTTACTGGAAGCGTTCTTTGAAGTTACCCATTTTATTACTTTTTAATAAAAGGTGAGAACATGGTGCCATACCATCATAGATTGCTAGGAAGAGTGTAAATAACCGTAAATTTTCTATGACAGATGGCGTGTATCAAAAATTTGAAATGGGTAGATGTCTTTTTTTTTTAGTAAATCATTTTACTGGGGGCTCATACAACTCTTATCACAATCCATCCATTGTGTCAAGCACATTTGTTACCATCGTCATTTTCAAAACATTTTCTTTCTACTTGAGCCCTTGGTATCAGCTCCTCATTCCCCTCTCTCTTTCCCACCTCCCTCATGAACCCTTGATAATTTTTAAATTAATATTATTTTTTTCATGTCTTACACTGACCGATGTCTCCCTTTACCCATTTTTCTGTTGTCTATCCCTCTGAGGTGGGTTATAGGTAGATCGTTGTGATTGCCCCCCCACACACACCTTCTTCTTATCCTCTGGTGTGGCTACTCTCCATATTGGTTCTGAGGGGTTTATCTGTCCTGAATTCCCTGTGTTTCCAGCTCTTTTCTGTACCCGTGTACATGCTCTGGTTGCTAGATTTGTAAGGTAGAATTGGGGTCATGATAGTGGGCAGGGAGGAGGCATTAAAGAACTATAGGAAAGTAGTATGTTTCATCGGAGCTATACTGCACCCTGTCTGACTCATCTCCTCCCCGCGACCCCTCTGTAAGAGATGTCCATTTGCTTACAGATGGACTTTGGGTCTCCACTCTGCACTCCACTTCATTCACAATGATATGATTTTTGGTCTGGGTCTTTGATGCCTGATACCTGATCCCGTCGACACCTCATGATCACACAGGCTGGTGCGCTTTCTCTATGTGGGCTTTGTTGCTTCTCAGTTAGATGCCTGCTTGTTTATCTTCAAGCCTTTAAGACCCCAGATGCTATATCATTTGATAGCTGGGCACCATCGGTTTTCTTCACATTTGCTTATGCACCCATTTTGTCTTTAGCGGTTGTGTCGGGAAGGTGAGCATCACAGAATGCCGGATTATTTTAATGAAGTGTTCTTGCATTGAGGGAGTACTTTAGTGGAGGCCCAATGTCCATCTGCTACCTTAATACTAAACCTATAAATATACGTACATAGATCTATTTACATATGTACATGCCTGTATTTAGACCTCTATGAATGAATGCCCTTTGCCTCCTAGTTCTTTCCTCTATTTTACTTGTCTCACTATCATGTTCAGCCTTCATTTGGGTTTCAATAATTCCTTTCGGTTACATTGCCCTTGATCAAACCTGGGTAGATGTCTTTTGACCTAGCAGTTTCACTTTTAGAAATATGTTCTCGTGAACTAATGGAACAAGTGCACATCGAAGCAGTATTTAATGCACATCGCAAAATCATTTGATATAAAAATAATTTAGAAGCAAGTTAAATATCCAAAGGAAATTGGTTTTAAAGAATTATGAATAATACAATTATGCATTATGAATTATGTATCATGAACACATAGCTGCTGATGGTTTAGACTTTATGGACATAAAACATTAATATGTTGTTTAAATGATGAAAGTTTGCAAAAATCATGGGAAGGAATTTGTAGTACACTGGCATGTTGTAGGGGTCTAAGGAAAACGAGATACATTAAGATGTTAACGGTGGTTATCTTAGAATGGTGAGATTATGGGGATTTTTATTGTTTTGTCTAACTATCTTTTTTATTTCAACACAGAAAGTTAACAAACATAACAAATGTAAACCCCATGAGAGGATAGTTTGGCTTGTAGGTTGACATTAAAATCCAATTTTCCGAAGCCCTGAGGATGCTTTTGCTGTTTAGGCTTTTGATGATTACTAAGACAATTCTCAGTGAGTCAGCTTTTGAATTAACTCTGATCTTTTGGTTTCAGCTTGTATATGAATTTTTCATACGATTTTTGGAAAGCCAAGAATTCCAGCCCAGCATTGCCAAAAAATACATAGATCAGAAATTTGTATTACAGGTAAGAACCTTTTTTTTTTTTAATCATTGTTTATGTCTGCTATTCAGTTGCTACCTTTACCTCATGAAACAAAATGTTAACAGCATCATGCAATGACAATAGTACCACCTTAATGAACAAATACACATATGCTCAAAGTTAGTGGGAAAATGAAATGAAAAGATAATGGAATTTTCTCAGGAACTTCTTGAAGCTACCCTGTACAAAAGAGAGTTTCCATTATGCCCACTAAAAATGATAAGTATCTTTTTAGTGTATGTACTGTGATGGAAATTACTTATATTTTAATAGCCCACAATGCTAGTGCTTAAATCTCTGTAGTGTTCTTTTGTCAAGTTTAATTATAGGGGAACTTCACTTATACAGATGGGGCAATTCATACAGAGCTTGAAAACTTATATTTGTATAAGTATTTTTTTAAATCTTTTTATTAGGGGCTCATATACCTCTTACCAATATCCAAACATACATCAATTGTGTAAAGCACATTTGTACTTTCATTGCCCTCGTCATTCTCAAAACATTTGCTTTCAACTTAAGCCCCTGGCATCAGGTCCTCATTTTTTCCCTCTCCTTCCCTGCTCTCCCCTCCTTCATGAGCCCTTGATAATTTATAAATTATTATTTTGTCATATCTTGCCCTGTCCAATGTCTCCTTCACCCACCTTTCTGTTGTCCGTCCCCCAGGGAGGAGGTCACATGTAGATTCTTGTAATCGGTTCCCCCTTTCCAACCCACTCTCCCTCTACGGTCCCAGTATTGCTTCCAGTATTGTATTTTCAAGGAGCTATTTAATAGGTGTGCTTAAACTATGTAGGCAAATTCAGATGACAGAGCACAAACTTTAATAAATAATCAGTCATGGTACTGATGAACCTTTACTGCTAGGAAATAGCAGAGCCTACCTAACACTTTTGAATTTTCCTAAGGGAATTAACTCTAATTTGTCCTTTTGGGACCACCCTATGAGTGTTTGTTATTCCTTATTTCACATTTTAGAACCATAGGCCACATTTTTTTTTAATCAGAGACTTGAGATACTTCATGACATTAAATTTTGGTAGTATGTCCTGGTTTCTGTTGCTAAAGTTTGTCTATTAGCAAAAGGCTATTTGAACGCTACCGGTGTATACAATGTTGTAGCTCCTCTCTGAGTGACCAAAGGGAAACTGCATCTAGAAAAGAATTGGCTATCTCCTACTGAGCCAGTGAGTAGAATTTCAAATTTAAACATTGATTTGGCAGGAAATTGATCTCCGGTGCCTTACTTGACTTGAGGCCAATAACCTTCACAGTCACCTCTTTCCCCGGCCCTAATTAAATTCAGAATTGGGATGTTAGATAGAATGATAACCAATATTTTGACTAATTTTGGTCTTTTAAAACATTGATTTCAAATGATCCGTTCTATTAGAAGCCAGGAGTGGCTAACTCCTGAAAGAAAGCTGCGGAGCACGGAGGACCTGGGTGCACCCTGGCTAATGTGCTGGCAGGGGTCCAATCCCGAGTTCACCTGTCTGCTCAGAGCTGGCAGGAAGCTTTGCTACCTGGTCTCTGGGACTCATTGTCATCTATACAACCTTCTCCCCTTAGATTCATGGAGGCAGAACATCGAGCTACTATCTTTAACGATTAGGGTATGTTGGTGTGTCACACTGACAAATCGTCTGTCTCACACCTGAACATCAGAGGCTTTGTAGAGATATGAGTAAATAACTACAGGGATTAGTGGATAAATTGGTAGAGATACAAATCCTTAAGTTAAAAGATTAAAATACATTTCTTATAAAACAAACATACGTTACTGGCTTGTGTTTTGTAGTGGAAAGGACCTTGCCTGCATAGCTTTCGGAAGACCTTTATATGCAGTGTAGAATTTGATTTAGGTAGCAGTTGTAGAGAATGCAGGTGGCTGTGACTTTGGGTCCATTTGGATACGGGATCAAGCTGAGGTCCATACAGCTAGATGACCAGCTTTCCAGGTTACTCCCCTGTGTGGCTTTCTGTTCATGATCTCAGCTTATATATGAATTTTTCATGCGGTTTATGGAAAGCCAAGGATTCCAACCTAGCGCCGTTCAAAGTTCTTTTGTGGAAGGTCTCTGTACCATGTACATCTGGGCATTCGTCTCTCCAGAATGGTTCATCAGTACATCAGCGGTCTTAGATGGAAGCTTTTTTCTTTGTAGACCGCAGCTTTTCTGTTCACTCCTTTTGATGTTTCTCATTCTTAACTTGGAATAACTTCAAGTTAGGACTTGTCCTGGTGTTTCAGTCCTAATGAAATGACATGCCTGGTCTCTTAAACAGTTATGATGACAAAACAAAGTGCCCGAGAGCATCAAATGATGGTTCTGTAGTAAAGCCTGCGATAGTGTACATGGAAACACAAGCCCTACAATCTTACGATGCAGCAAATAGGAGAAAGCATTCAAGGCTCAACACTGTGCTGTCTATGAGAGGTTCTGAAGACAGTAAAACTCATAATATCAAAGCATCAGAGAATCTCAGACTTGTAAAGCGGCACTCTGAGTCTGGTGCTTTACCCAATGAGAATCTGTCTACAGGGTGGGCTCTGCTTCCCCTCTTTCACATCCACAAGCAGCCTGCTTAATTTTAGTTAAAAATTCTTAAGTTGAACCCCTTTATACCTTGTGCATTTTGTTACTGTTCTCTCCATGAGTGTATCACTAGCCCAAACACTTCCCTGTAGGTCTTAGAACACAGCGTTTGTGGATACTCTTTGGCTTGCTCTCCACAGTGGTTGCGTGCTGGTAGGCGCATTTAGAATAAGTCGGAGACACCAAGAGGCTGAGTGGCTCCTGTGGAAGGAGACATTGGCTTTTTCTTCATTCAGTTATTGCTTCACTAGCTAAACCCATGTGCCTTCTGAAGCTAGCTTATCACCTGTCAATATCGTCTCTGTGCTAGACAGAGTCCTCAGTTCTGTTAACCTTTCTGCATTTGTCTTCATGATCTAGACCCTGTCAGTACAATTTAGGGTTGATTTTTCATTCCGTTTGGGCACTAGGTTTCTCACAGTGTTGGTCTTAACTCTTCTTGCTATTGCATGACATTGCCAATCTATAGTGAGGTGTCTATCTTAATTGGCTCTTAATTTAGATGTATACATGTTGCTGTAAACCTATGTTTCCCAGGCTCTTATTATGCAGTTCTAAAACACGTGTTTTTGTTAGTTGCTATCTGTGTTATGGGACAAAGTGAACCTGCCTCATGTGCTTTCTTATGCTATCATCTTTATGGGAGCAGATCTCCAAGTGTTTCTCCCACAAAGCCAGTGGGTTGGTTTGAATCACCGGCCGTTCAGTTAGCAGCTGAGCCCCTACCATTGTGCCACCAGAGCTCCTTCCAAAGTCTCTTTGTGGGACTTAACATATATTCCTGCGGGACATCATTTCTCTTGTCTTTTGACGTTTTTTATTTTGAATTTTCAGTCTGTCATATATCCTATTCATTGCCTTCTATTTCTATGCTATCTCTAGGCTTCTTAAATACTAGCTATTGACTCCATCACAGTCATCGATTGGCCTTGTGAAATGAGCCAGGCCTACAGAAAGAGAGGGATTGACACAGTGGATGCGACCATGGGCTCAGATGTAACATTTGGGAGGAGGGCGCAGGACCGGGCAGTGTTTGGTTCTGTTGCACATCGGGCCACTGTGAGTCGGAATTGACTTGGAGCACCCAACAAGAGCACCAGGAAAGAAAAGGAGCCTTAGTAGCACAGTGGGTAAGAGCTCACCTACCCACTGCACGTTGGTAGTTCAAACTCACCAACTGCTTTTCAGGAGAAAGATAGGGCAGTCTGTTTCCATAGAGATCACAGCCCTGGAAACCCTATGGGGCAGGAGTTTTTTTTTGTTTTTTTTTTTAAGGGGAGGGACTTGAGGGATATTTTTCGAAACGTTATGAACAGAGATTAATTCATCACCATCTCTGAATTCTCTAGCTTGAACCAGTTAGAAATTCACTCAGATGTCATCTCAGGTTCTTAATTTTGTTTATAAGGGGAGCATAGAGACTTCGTCAGATGTTCTAGTAAAAGGCAGGACTTAGTGTTTACAGCGGTCCCTTCATATTGGCCTTGTAACTTTATCGTCATCTGCCGTGTGGCATTAGTGAGCTCCTGCTGGCTGCTTTGGTTCTTGGTGATGCTGTTCTCAGTGCTTGCAAATCATGGGTTGATCTTCTGTCATGGAGTTTTGCCAGAGACATGAAATCAAGTATTACCTACTGGGACTCTAACATCTTCCAGAAGCGAGGCCTTTATACTAATCTAGTTTTCCGGACCCCCCTTCCTTAGTGATTTGGCCCTGAGCTGGGAATGGATCCTTTGGAGCTTAAGCTACTGGTGGTACTCCGTTCCATCACTACTCCTCCCCCATGCGTTAACTTCCCTTCCCACCTTGTTTTCCACAGGCTCCTGTGATCCCAACTGGTCCGAGGTGTTTCATCTAAGTCGGATTATCTTATGACATGAGAAACCTCATACTTTTTTTCCTTTTCAAGTTAAGATGACACATACGTGGTCTCCTTCTTTGGGTAGATTTCCAGATTTACTCACTTTCTCCCCAAGCCTGAGATGCTTCATTGGTGGGGATAGCTTGATAACCGAGATTCTGCATCGTGAACAGGATGAGTGGGCATTGAGTTAGTTCCAATTCATGGTGACTCCACATGTGTCAGAGGAGAACTGTTGCATAGGGCCATCAGTGGCTGATTTTTTCAGAAGTAGATTACTCGACCCTAATTCCCAGGTACGTCTGGTTGAGCTTGAACCTCCAGCCTTTTGGTTAACCACCCAAGAATGACTTCTGTTAAGGCTCCTTCAGTTGGCATCGGGGATGTTGTTGTTAGGTGCCTTTGAGTCCATTCCAACCCATCAGGACCCTGTGCACAACAGAATGAAACTTTGCCTAGTCCTGCACCATCCTTGCTGAACCCTTTGTTGCAGCCACAGTGTCAATCCATCCTGCTGA